CTCCCCTTGCGCCCGCTTCTCCCCTTGCGCCCGCTTCTCCCCTTGCGCCCGCTTCGCCCCTTGCGCCCGCTTCTCCCGGTGCGCCCGCTTTGCCCCTTGCGCCCGCCTCTCCCGGTGCGCCCGCTTTGCCCCTTGCGCCCACCTCTCCCGGCGCGCCCGCTTCTCCCGGCCCTTCTCCCCTTGCGCCCGCTTCTCCCGGTGCGCCCGCTTCTCCCGGTGCGCCCGCTTCTCCCGGTGCGCCCGCTTCTCCCGGTGCGCCCGCTTCGCCCCTTGCGCCCGCTTCGCCCCTTGCGCCCGCCTCTCCCGGCGCGCCCGCTTCGCTCCTTGCGCCCGCTTCTCCAGGCGCGCCCGCTTCTCCCGGCCCTTCTCCCCTTGCGCCCGCCTCTCCCGGCGCGCCCGCTTTGCCCCTTGTGCCCGCTTTTCCCGGCGCGCCCCTTGCGCCCGCTGCCGCCGTGCCCGCTGCCGCCGTGCTCTCGTCGGACTCAGACAGGTGAGTTCAGCCTCGGTGCTCTCCGCGGGTAGCCCCTTTCGCGCCGAGACCTGTCTCTGCAGGCCGCTGTCGCTGAGCGCCGCAGAGCCCGGTGTGTCTGCCCGCTGCCTCCCCCGCCCCGGTGTTTCACCCTCTGGAGTTCGCTCCTTCCCATCACAGGTGTAATTTTCAGTTAACATTTTGTTAGGAGTCTGTTAAATTAGGCTTCCAGAGAAGTGCCTGTAAAGGTGTAGGATTTAACAGCAGCATGAGTTTGGTGGTTGCGGCCTGGAGAGCGTGTTGGGCCACGCCAGCGGCTTTACGTGGTTCTCACAGGATGCACCTGCCGCTCTTGGGGCATGACACCCGCGGTGTTACTGCTGAAAAACCTGAATGTAGGACTCAAGGTGCAGACTCTGCACACTGTACCACGTGCTCTGATGTTGACATCTCAGTGGAAAAGCTCATTCTCAACCTTTTTCTGAAAAAAATTTTTAGAGTAGGAGATTCCGTCTTCTACTTGCTACATGCTACATACGTGCTTCGTTGTTCAGTGTAGTTGGTGAAAAGTAACTGGTGAAATTTGGGCTCTCTTGCCGTGTTAGCAGTGTGCGCACTTTGGTCGTTGCAGTAAGTCTTGTGTTTTCATATTGGGCCGGTGCAGCAAGATGGCCATGTGCTTCTTTTGATTAGAGGAGGCTAAAAGAAAGTCTAAGACTCTCCTGTTAACAATACAAAGCTTCATTAACAGTTAATTGATTAAAGTTTGACTTCAGAAGTACTTTTTGAGTTGAATGTCATGAAGTATCGTGAGAGTGAAATTCCTGACTTCCAGGGGCTTCATCTGTTTCTTGCTTTTTTTACTTCCAAAATCTCTTGTGTTGATGAGCCCTAAAGATGAAATGTTCATAACTTCAACTTGTATGTCTTGCATGTATCTCAGTCTTTGTTTTGTTTTGTTTTTTAACTCTCTCCACTGATTGGTCTTTTAGTCTGATTTTTTTTTTTTTTGTCTTTCTGCTGTATTGATGTTGTTCCAAGAAGTCCATATTTGACTTTTTCAAAAGGTTTACTTGGAGAGGTGTGCTTATTTCTTGTCATTGCTTGTGAGTATTTGTTGGAATGAAAAAATTATCGATAGAAAGCCATCCATTTACTTTGGGAATGAGACTGTGGTATTACAAGAATCTAGAAAGGAGTGGGTTTTTTTTTTCCTTTCAGGTAAGAAAGGCTATTTTGCATAAATTTGCTTATCTCTGTGTATTTTTTAGTGTAAGGTTTGTATTGCATTTTTTCAGTTACTGTGATTAGTTGCTCCACATTTTTTTCTTCCACCAACCCTTGAAGACCTTGGACCTTTGCTAAAACAAACATATTGACATGAATAAGGCCTGGTTTCTTACTGCACTCTACTTGAAACATTAAGGGTCTAAGACATTAAACATCTCTTACACATTCGACAGTGAGAAGTATTGAATTAGTCTGTGTGAATTTTTACTGGGGGATTTGGACAGGACATGAATTATGAAACTTTTATTTATCAAAATGAGATTTTTTCCCCTTTACTGTGCAAGATGTGCTTGAAGTAAATATTTTCTTAACTTTCACTCAGCCTTATGCTAGTATTGGGATTTTGCAAGAACAGTGACTATGAGAAGGCAGTATTGTAACTCCCGTGTTTGCTTTTTTATTCAGTGATACAGATTCAGATAGTTCATCAACTACACTCTTCTCTTCGTCTTCAGCAGTATCTGATGAAGATGATCATCCAAATGAGAAGGATAACAAATCTTACTGTATTAGGACAAAGGATGAGTTGCCTATTGAGGTAAGTACAATGTGGTGTTTTTAAAAGGCATTCCTACTAACCCAACTAAAAATTTATATTTCAAGTCAGTCAAGATGGGGTTAGAATCAGAATAGTAAAAGAGAAACTCCAAGGCTGAGCTAGACACAATTTAGTAGGTAAAGCAAAAGCCAGCCACATGAGCAAAGTAAAAAAAAAAAAGAAATTAATTTACTACTTTCCATGGGTAGTTAGGTGTTCTGCCATCCCCAGGAAAGCTGGGCTCCATCATGTGTAACCTTTGCTTGAGGATACAAACACCATCACTGCAAATGTCCTTCCTTCTCCTTTTTTGATCAGCTTTGTATGCTGAGCGTGATGTTACATGGTATGGAATGTTCCCTAGGTCTGTGCAGATCACCTGTCCTGGCTGTGTCCCTCCCAACTCCTTTTGCACCTCCTCAGTCATGCTTTTCAGGTATATGTATTAAGGAGTGTTAGTGGAACTGTTTTAGAAACCTCTTGATTTGAAGCAGATACTGTGTATAGTGTGACAGAACATACCATTTTGAGATACAGGATCAGAATTTTACCTTCTTGTTGGTCTTTGGCCTTTGAATTGCTCTTACAAAAAGTGAGCCAGTTAAGTCTTAGCAGTGAATTTGATTTAATGTTGGAAAAATCACTGGCCAGTAGAAGGGTGTGCTGCTTTTATCTGCATTCATGTAAGTATTTAATGGTACAATATTTTGGAAAGTCTTGGCCTTTTTGATCTTTGCGTTGCTCTATAAGCCTTTGTCAAGCACTTGTTAAGAATGAACATTATCAGGTGAAGTATTGATAAACCAGGTTAAGATTCTTCTGTTTGTGTGGGATTTTATTTCTAGTTGTGGCCTTTAAAAGTGCGGTTCAGTGCTAAGATTTGAAGTCTCAGAATTCACTGGACGTTGAATTTGAAGATAATGCTTACTCTAATTGCCTTGTATTTCATAAAGTCTTTATTGAATTCACAGCAGCATAGCATTCCACAGAAATCTTAGTTTATGTGTAAATTAGAGGTAGATGATAACTTGGTGTTAATCAGTCTTTTTTAGTAGATTTTGATCCTTATATTTGAGGAAAAGGCCTCATTTGAATATTGTATAGTATAGTACTCATTTTTGTATCTGAAGTTCGGCTTTTTGTGTCCTCTCATATCTCTAGTTATCCTCTTGTACCAAATGCAACTTTCAGCTAAAAATAATTTTCTTTGTACAGGTTGTGATGTTTACATCTTCTGTAATGATCCAAGTCATGATGTAAATGGACAGACTCCATTTTGTTAAATCAGATTATACACATCTGGTATATTTTATGCTATATTGCCCCTTGCTGTGTACATTTTTATTCTAGCATGCATTGAATATTGTTGCAAGTGGTCTTATTTTTTGATTTCTGATTGTTTAGTTATGGTGGTGTAAATTGAGCTTGGATGAAATGCCTGCCGATTGTTGGCTTTCTCCAGTTGAATAAAATTGGCTTCTGCCTTAGTTGTGATGGAAATATGTAGAGTAGTGTCTCTGTAGGAGAGATGTCCTCAAAAGGTGGTGGTCCTTCAAAATGAATTCACTTAGGATCATTCTGAAAGAGGTAAATCAAACTAGATTTTCTAAAAATAAAATCTTCAAAATGCCAAGGGATTTTTCCAAACTGTCAAACTATTGCAGTGACATAGTGGTAAGTGCCTTCATGTAATATTATATTTTAAACATTGACTTGCTGTTTGCAGGAACTGCCTCCTGTTGAAGACTTATCAGTAATTCTTCCAGATAATGTTGAACTGAAGGTCCTTGGGACAGTTTCCAGCATCATTGAGCAGCTAGGTAGGCAAGATATGTTTGCTTTGTTTTTAACTATTATAATTTCTATACGAATTGAGTTCTTAGCTGTTACTTCAAAGTGTCAGTCCTGCAGCATTGTATTTCTGGGGTTAGCAGGTCACTGAATTGGAATTCAAACTAACAGATGACATTTGTGTTGAGTTACCTTTTATTTGGCTTATATGCATGCGTTTCTATGGGACTTTCATGTTTAATTTTTTAATCAAAACCCATTTTTTCTACTGTGTATTACGATTTTTATATTGACACTGGCCACAGTTATTGTATTTTGTTTTAAGAAAATCTTCCACTGCTAGGTGCTATTTTTGAATAATCCCTGAATATATAGGAACTGTATAACTGAAAGCACAGATGCAATACAATGCAGTGCCAAGTGCTTGCCTGCATATATGAGGACAGGAAAAAGACTTGTTTCTTCAACAGTGTAAGTTATTTATTTATTTATATCTTTATTCATACCACTTCTGGCACCTTGAGCAAATGAAAGCTGCCCATGTCAGCAGTCAGAGGATGGTGTGACTAACATGATTTATAGGTGGAGGGTAAGCTTAATGGGATTGAGATATAGAATGGATGTAAGTTTAACTGCAGGCATAGAGATTTAGGGATCTTTTTGGATCTGTGTGGACCTCAGTATCTGAAAAATGAAATCAAGGTTTTGCTGAAGCTCATACTAGTAAAACATCCACAGTATATTTGCGTTTGGGCTATTTCAAGGGTTCCCTTCTGCTTGAACTGCATTCCAAGCAATTTGCTTATGAAAATTAGAATTAAGTTCAGTTTTGAAGTTGTAGTATTTATGCTGAATGCAGTACAAAAGAAAGTAAATAATTTTTGCTATTAATTCTTCTTTTAAAAGACTTCGGGTAATACAGGCAATTCTTCTGTTTTATTGGAGTGAGATTTAATTTCATTCATTTGCAGGAGGCTAGGTGGAGGGTGTGGAGGGTAGTAATCTGTTTTTTTTTCTACTTTGCCCATTTTTGCTTATTGATAAAAATGGGGATTTCAAGAAGGCTGCCTTCAGCTAAAATGGTACTTTGAAAACAAGTTTAAAACAAAAGTTGAATCATACTTGCTATTATTCTTATTTTTGGTTTAAATTGTGAAAGTATAAACAAAACTGTTTTAAAGACTACAGTTTTGAAAACCATCCTTAATTCTAATCCTCACTGGTGAGTGTATAATCGTTTCAAATACTAGTTCACTGGTAGGTGAATTCTTCAGGCTGCATCCTACTTTATGTAAAGTACATGTATAAAGTGTTGAATTAGATTTGTTGCTGAAAGTTAGAAAACAAGTTGATAATTATGAGGAAATAAAACCGTATGAACGGCTTAAACACCCAGGACATCTGTGATTATTTTCTTGCTTGCACTACATTGCTTTATGACTTCTTTCTCCACCTTTTAGTTTCTTTTCAGTTCTTCTGAAAACTGGCCTCAATTTCAGTCGACTTTGACTATATTAGGGATGCCAGCTAATTGGGGATTGTTTTTTGGTTTTTGAACTACCTTGATACCTGTGTATACTAGGTTTATATCTAGTCTGAGGGGCGTTGATTTCTCATTTGGAAGCCAGAAATATTGTTCTGACACAACAATCAGTATTCTTTCTCTGTCCCTTTGATGTCCCTCAGAATGTCTGCTGTTTTTTGTAGCAAGCTTCCAAGTTCTGCAGTGAGTGAGTGATACTTTTAAAGTGGATATTTTGTCCTGTGAGGTAAATTTGAGACTGGAACAGTGTAGGTTTATGCTTGCTGTGCAGTCATTAAAAGCAAAATGACAGTACTTTCTGTGAACTTCTGCTCAGTGTATCAGAATTTGACAAAACTTTTGCTGTGTTTTGCTTCAAGGTACTTAAAGAGAAGAGAAAAATTCGCTGTGTGGATTGGGGCTGGAGAGTAAATAGCTTTGGTGTATATGAGGAACTTTCCCAGGGGCTGTACTTTGGCCCCTACAAGAGTAGAAGCAGATAATTTAGGCTGTGTTGGTGTAGGGGAAGCCATAAGTCAAATAGGCTGGAGGTGGTAGTGTTTCTCCTAAATTTCATGGGACTAGTGTATTGTACTCTTCAGAATATATTTTCCTTAGCCCACTTCAGACTGGGAGCTACTTGTGGTGAATCAAGTTGAGAATATTATCTGAGAGTTTTTGGTATGTTGTTTTTTGTAGGGTTTTATTGCTTGGATATTTGGGGAATTTTGTCTGGGTTTTTTTGCTAAGATATATTTCTCATGAGGTTTAAACAACCATACAACATTGGCTACTTTCACTGTATATTTTATCTTAAAGGTAGGCACAAAAGAAATCGATTCCACAAATTATCTTGAAATTCAGTGAACTATTAAGCCTGTAATATGGTCATATCTTTGTTTGGCTCGTTAAGGTTTTTGCAGATTGCAGTAGTAGCAGTAATTTTTGGTTTGGTGACATGTTGATTGCTGAAAGTCCTTTTATATAAATTTAGCATTGATGATCTTGAGCTCATGTTGGAGTCTGAGTGACACTATGTACTTGAGTGACTTTATTTTCCAGTCAAGAACACTTAATTGAGCATTCTATTGTTTTATAGGTATAGGAAGAGTTTAATCATTGTTAGGCCCAAATGTACTATGAGACTTCTAGGGCATTAAATTGCAGAATGTAGAAGAGATTGTGTATATGCATATATAAACAACATCAGTTGCTGCTGTGACTGGCAGTTGCCAGACAGCTTTTGTGTTCTGGTGTGATTCTTTGGACACTCTCTCTTTACCCCAGAGGACAATAATTCTGTAAGCAATGTAAGTATTACCACTCACATATCATTGGAGAAGGGATGTATGATTCTAAGTACTTTTATACGTATGCAAGAATATTTGGTTGCACTCTACAAACTTAAGTATACAAGTAGCAGTGTGGTTTGTTAACTTTTACTCTAATTAACTGCTCGCTGTTGAAACATAAAGTTCTAATTTATTTTTTCTTTCCATTTTAGTAATAATTGAATCACTGAAAGGCCTACCTCCAGTAAATGAGGAAAGCATAATTTTTAAAGAAGATAGGCAAGCAGTAGGAAAGGTGGGTGTAAAATAAAAACTTGTCATTCTAATATAAAAGTGGAAGCATTCTTTAGCACTCCAGAAAGTAGAGTTGAAGTCGACTAAATGAAAGATAATGGTTTTTTGATATATAGTTTTTCTTTGTGCCTTTGACTCTTGCTATATTCATCTGTTTTTTTTTTTTTAATCTCAAGAATTCCTAACCTAGAATTAATTGCATCCTTACAGAATTAAAATTATCTGGTGAGTTCCCAGTGTTTGATGAGAGTAGTAGTGGAGAGGAAGAGATTACTTTGAGATGCATGATGTCTTGAAATAACAGGCTATACAATCTTTTACTGCCAGATAGAGGCAGTGGTTAGAGTGAAGTTTTATGGAAAATGGGGAATGTTTTCTTCTATTCTGTGCTGTTCTGATTTAAGACCAGTGAAGAATATTAATTGAGAGGGTTGTTGCATTGAATTTTCTGTAGAAGGAAAGCCATCATCCACAATGGTTACTACTGAAATATGTTTGAATGCTATATGTGAGTGGAACAAACCTAGCCTGAATTACAGGTGTTCTGTAAAACATGGCAAAATTCTCTGCTCTCCATGGAATTGGGGAACAAGAGGTAACTGTTGTAAACGCATCTTGTTAAGATGAACTTTGAGGAAATAATGATCAGAAGATTTTCAAGTCTTGTAACACTTGGAACAGTATCAGACACAGAAAAATAGAGATTGGACAAAAGGAAGGATTACTAAGGGTGTGAGAACTTTCTTTTCCATATAATAAGAAGCAGTAGTTGGGGAAATACACTGTCAAAATTCAGTAATAAACCTGAAGTGTGAAAGGACCTTCTGTTTGATGCTGCATCTTGAAAATATATTTGATTTCTTAAATATCATTGTCTACAATGAAATTAGCTGCTACTACTCTACTTGTAGTTTATTTAAACATTTTAATTTTATTTCTTTCAGATATTTGAGATATTTGGTCCTGTTTCACATCCTTTTTATGTGATAAGATTTAACAGCTCTGAGCATATCAAAGAGAGTGGTATTAATGTGCAAGATAGCATGTATTTTGCTCCATCAGTGGAGGACTTCACCCAGTATATATTTGCAGAGAAACTGAAACAGTGAGTCCGATTTCTTTTCTCATCTGGTTATGATGGTTTTTTATATAGCTAAAAATGTTGGATTAAAGTTGAGTCTTCAGTGAAGAAACTAGTACTAAGCTTAATACTAAACTTTATATTTCCTTTAAATGTTCTTAACTAGGTTCTAATAACAGGACTGTACTATTTTGCCTTTGAGAACAGTAAAGAGTGGCTGTAAACTGCAAGCTTTTAAAGTGCTGTAATTACTAAAGTTAAGCTTCTTATTCTACGTAATATACTAAATTTGCTTTCTTTATATGCCAACTAAAATACCACAACCAGAAAAGTTCATTGATACTTCCTCCACATTCTGTGACACACATATACATGAGTATAAAAAAAGACAGTTTTTCAAGCTGAACTTTCCAGTTTTTGTCTTTCTTTAGATTCTTGTATAGTTTCTGATATACAACTGATAATAAACTTGTTTGCATTCTGAACAAGTTCCTATTAATTTACTATTTTTATTTCATATCGCAAGGCCAGAATAGAAATGTAATTTTCAATAAATCTATTACACAGGTGGAGGATAACAATGCTAGATAAAAGTTACCCTCTGAATTTGGAAGAGAGAAGGGATTTGAGTGACAATGTAGTATAATGTTCAGAAGCTTTTCAGTAATGTTTGTGTATCCCAGTCTGACTGGGAAGAAAGTAGTGTGAATAAATAGGACCTGATGCCATGTTCAAAGACACAGACTAAGAAATAAAACATAATAAATGACAGATATTAATGTTCTAATTATTGATGAGCAATCATCTGAAATAACTATAAGTTAGATATCTTCTATCCTACCAGTGACTTAGTTTCTGTTTATTAGGATTAGTTCTCAGGAGTTGGTTAAATGATTGCATTCATTACAGTTGTGGCAGTATTCATACTGAATAGTTCTTTTCTTTAGTCAAACGTGTAGCCAGACCTGTAGGAGTTTGTTTTTTTTTTTTTTTTTTAAGTTCCTCATTTCTGTGCAAGCAACAAGCATATTTTCTTCCTTTTAGTGAGGATCAAAATAGATCACTTTCTTGCTCTGATGCTTGTTTGTTTTTCTGCAGCATTTTGATGCCAGCTGGTCTTTGATTTCTGCTATTAAGCTTTGTTGCTTAGCACAGTAAGCGCACAGACTCTAATCATCTGCTTGCTGCATCAATAACTGTATGCTGTACTCAGCATCTGAGATGGGAGACTTGTGTTTTACTTTGTTTCATGCTTTGGAAGTAGTTTGGGAAACCATTTTTCATTTGGTAGTACTTAACTGTCATAGGTGGTAAAAATCTGAAGCCTAGGCGAGATACTTCAGACTTCGATGGCTTAATCAGTACAGCTGAACAGTGCTTCAGACGTTGTTTCTTGTCTTGATTAGGATGAGTAGTGTGACTTTAGTAACCGTACGCTGAAACAATATTTTATTTCTGGGTTTTGTCAGTACAATTTCTTAAGCTTCTGTGAGGCATTTGGTGCTATTTTCACTAAATAAATAAATAAAAACTGCCTTTTCACTAAATAGGTTTCATTATAAACAGATGAATTTCTGATTTGTGCTGTAATGCTGTATGAAGAAAGCTTAATGTTCTGACTGTGACATGGATAGTAGAAAAGTCAGGCTTTGGTCAGTGATCCACTAGAAGCCTTTTGGACCTTAGTAGATTGCAAATTTAAAACCAATAACTTTTATTTTCTGCTATTTCTTAGTTTGAATGTGTGCAGACCAGGCTGTGGGTGTATTACAGGCTTAAAGTTTTAAAACTGCTGTTCAAAAAACTGTGATGATTCTTTGAAAAGGAATGGGATCAAGACTTAAGATTTGAAAGAAAGAACTGAGTTAGAACCTTTTTCTGAAATCTGAAATGCAATCTGCTTGCATTGTACAAAGTTGCAGTGCTATGAATAAGTCAGACTTTATAGAAAAATAAGTGAAAGTGTAGTGTAAAACTTTCTGAATGCAAAATAATTTGTTGCTAAAGATAGGCTGGTGCTGTATTGCCTGAAATGCAGTTTTAAAAAAGCTTATGTATTTTCATGATTCCTCTGAATTACCTTTTGTTAGACTTCAAGATCTTACAGAATGTGACTTCACCAATCAGAGAATTACTATATTGTTCTTTGCAGAAGACATTAAATACCTTGAGCATGAAAAGCAGTTTTTGTTTGCTGAAATGAGAAAGGCTTGTTTGGGAGAGTGAGATAAGCTACCTGACCTTGAAAGGTTTAAAGTTTGCAGTGATGTTACGTATTGCTGAATGACCACAGGTCCTGGCAATTCTTTTGTGCTCTGGTATTTCTGGCAGGCATGTGTTGCTCCAAAATAACAAGATGAAAGGAAGAAACAGTTCAGTTCACAGTAATAAAAAAAAAGTTTTCTGCAACTGACGAATTATTTGTATAGCGTTCTTATCTTACATTCCTCCCTGTAATGTATTCTTCTAATTGAACTTTAAAATGTCTTCCTTGCCTTCCCTTTTACTTGTAATCTCAAAAGGACGTGTAGAGATTGAACTTCACTTTCATGGTTAGGGGTGCTCTCACAGGTGTGACTAAGGACCTCTAAAGGCCAGGCTGCTGAAACTGATGGCTGTGTAGTTTTTGGTTGTTACTGCTACTTGATTGTTGCTAACTTGGTGAATACATGAAAAACCTTTGGTTATTAGAATACTGACTGAAGGCATTTCACACTGAACATATTGATGTTTTTAACGGTGTGGTTCCATTTTGTGAGTAAGAATTTTCAGTATTGCACTGTTTTATACAGTTTTTATGTGTAGATAAGGATTGTACCTTGACATTTCAGACCAAAACACAGAATTTGAGAATCATGGAAATTTAGAGCATCATAGAAAAATTAGAGAATTTGAGAGCATCATGGAAAAAACCTTCAACAGACTAATGGCAGTGTAATTTAAATCTGTTTCACAAATTCTTTGTTAATCAAAGAAATTACTTGATTTTTAGTGAAGGAATTCACACTGGGTTAAATAAATTAGACAAATCCAAATGAATTTTGGTGCTAATCAGGCAAGACAGTTGAGTTTTTGCATCTTTAAATGTCTTTTGTCTTGCAATTTAATTTTATGTTTCAACAAAATAAAAGGTGAAACCTAGTTACCTAGCTAACACCGTCTTAAGATTGTTAGCCAAGCACTGAGGATCTTTCAGTTCTGAATTTATTTGCTGTAGTTATATTGAAAGCCTCTGTCCTACTGAATGAGTTTATTGTTCTTTTTAACTGAAGATATATATTCTAAAATGAGATAAATCCTATGCTGTTGACTAACAATCACAAGCATACTCAAAGTTGAAGTGAGCTTCCTCAGTTCAGGTTCAAAGCAATTAAGATTCAAAAGGACTTGTTTAGAGGATATTGACCAAAACTTACTATTAAACTGGATGTTTGACTGAAATGTTCAGTTATTTCTTGAAAGTAGGAAGATTTTTCAAGTGTTGTGAAGCCTCGAGTTGACCTATAGGTTACTATTTGCTTATAAACAATACCAAAAATCAAGTAACTCTTTGAAAAGAGAAAGCTCCTGTTCTAGGAGACCTGATATGTTATAGAAAGTGTTAGCCTTCCTTTATCTGGATTGTCTAATTTGTGTTTTGTGTTGTTTGTTTTTTTTCTTTCAGGGAAAAAGGTTCAGATGCGTCTTGGAAGAATGACCAAGAACCACCACCTGAAGTAACTACAGAGGGGTTTTTTTTGTTTGTTGTTTTTGATTGCACAAGTCATATGTGAAAAAAAAAATTCTGTGCAGAGCAAGTAATTAGCAAACTTACCTTTTTATGGAGACAAGACTTGAATATATGTACCTCTTCATTGGGAGAAAGGATCATGCTTTTCTTGGAGAGGTCTCACAGTATAGAGAATACTACCTGTCTCTCTACTTACTTTTTGCAGTTGGCAGTCCTTCAAGAACATATTTGACAACCTGAATGTTTAACTTCGGATAGCAGTGCTTTTACCTTCCCTAATAATTTTGCTTCTGCTAGGGAATTTTTGTCCTTGTCATTATTTTACTGCAGCTTTGTCTTTAGTTGACCACAAGCAATTGTTTGTCTTTAAAGGCATACAGTACTCTGCAAACTTACTACTTGGATATTTAAGCTGTTCTGCTCTTCAAAATTAACTTGACATCTTTGTTGCATTCTTTAAATGGCTTCTTGGTAAGCTATCCCTAGTTTGCTGTTATGAAACAATAGTTCCACGAGAGGAAGGAGGCAAGCTTCTTCCATAAAAAAGGCTGTCATACAGGGTCATGTAGAGTTAGGAGCTCCCTGTGACCATTGACATAATTTGCTGTAGGAACTGAAAATAGTTCTCCAATGACTTTCTATCAGTGGTTCTTCACTCTAGCTATACATTTTGTGAGTATTCAGTAATAATCACAAGGCTGGTAGTTTTATTGCAGTATTTTCATGAGATCTGTTTTACAACACAACAGCTGAGTCACTTTTACTTGCAATTCCTACTTTAAACATATCCAAAGTAGCTGAAATTCCTAGAAGCCTTGTAGTATTCTAAAGAGATCTGTGAGCTTGTTTTGAATCTTCCAAATGCTTGCCTTTTTAGCATAATTCCATGCTATGTAATATATGCTTATAACTCTGTAATTTTGTAGGGAAGGTGTGTTTTGTGAAGTTTGGGGTATTTTTTTGTGGAGGATGGTGGTGTTTGATTTTGTTTCTCCAGTGTTCTAACTAATTTTTAGGATGGAATAGAATAGACTATTTCAGTTGGAGGGAACCTACAGCAGTCAGGGCTGATCTGAAGCATAAGCTGAAGCGTGTTGTGAAAAGCGTTGTCCAAATGCCTCTTAATTACTGACAGGCTCAGGGTGTCAGCCACCTCTTTACGAAGTCCCTTCCAGTGTTCAACCACCCTTCTCATTATTTCCATTCTGAACCTCTCTGGTATGGCTTTGGACCTTCCTACTCATCCTATTACTGCATACGAGGTAGAAGAGATCAGCACCTCTCTCTCCCCTTCCTCAGGAAGCTGTAGAGAGCAGTCAGGTTGCTTCTCAGCCTCCTTTCTACAAATGAGGCAAGTCCAGACTCCTTAACTGCTCTTCACAGGACATGCCTTCCAGTGCTGTCACCAGCTTTGTTTCCCTGCTCTGGATGCAACCAAGGACTTTGACATTCTTGCTGTGTGGGGCCCAGAATTGCACAGAGCACTCGGGGTGAGGCTCCTCAAGGCTGAATGCAGCAGGACAGTCACCTCTGTCTGCTTGTGCTGTGCTTGATGCACGCCAGGATTTGTTTTGCCCTCTGGGGTCTAGGGCACACCCTGCTGATCCCCACTGAGCTGCTGCTGACCAGCACCCCTAGAGCCCTCTTGGCAGGGTTGCTCACCAGCCAGTTCTCTCCCAGTTTAGACTTGGGTCTGGTGTTACTTCATCCTAGGTGTGCAGCATTTGAACTCATTAGATTTTATCCCATTAATCATTGCTCGGGGCCTCAATCTACCTGGATCCTTCTGCAAGGCCTCCTGTCCCTCAAGAGAGTCAATGGCAGTTGGGTATCATCAGCAGACTTCCTCATGGTGCTTCTAAATGCTGCATCCAGATCATTGATAAATACATTGAACAGAACTGGCCCTGGAACTGAGCCTGATGAGCTCTCCCCATCAGGCAGTTCTGCTCATGAACCTGCTCATCCCACTTGTCCAGAAGGATGCTGTTAGGGACAGTATTGAATTTTTCATTCACAGTCCTTATCCCAGGATGGTTGTTCTAGCTTGAGGGAGAGATGTTGTGACATGATTTTTTTTCTGTGCTCAAAGATAGGTCCTGTAATGATGTATCAATCTGTCAACTTGGAATGTTGCTTTTTCCCCTGTAGTGAGTAAGGATGATGCCTTTTGAAATACTGTTTTTGTTTCCCGTAAATGAAACTGAGCTGTGCAGTGCTAAATTCTCTCGAAGAATGTTTGTCTGTCAGTTCTGACTGTAAATTGCCTTGCTTTCTTGTAGAGACATAATCTCACAGACAATCACAATTTGAGAATTAGAAGTGTTGTATAAGAATTGGACTGTAGGTGTGTTATCCATAGAGCTTTGAAAGACAGTACTTAGAGACTTTTGGCTAGTCTTAACTTGCTTTCATTCAGCAATTTTCTTGTGGTGATGATACCGAATGGGCTTATTGGCTAACTGCGAGCTCTTATGGGTTTTTTTAGTCATGTTTTAAAAGCTGTTCAGGAAATAAGCTTGTAGATATGTAAACTAAGTTTGTAGGAACCCATGAAATTTTATTGACCAAGTACAGTCAGTCAAATCTGCAGATACAGATTCGTTGCCTTTTCCAAATTTCGTTTTTATTTTTTTGTAAAGATTTTTCTTAATTTAAATTTGCTTTACCTCATTATAGGAAGGAAAAAAGGAAGCTTGAAAAAAGTCAGTGGTAACAAGGGCGGGCAGTCTTCTGGCTGTGTGATCTGTATGTGTGCTCTGTTTTGGAAAAAAACACATCTAACATCTTGTAATCCTCAGTTAGAATAATTTTTGGTTAGTTCTAGCAGTTAAGAGTTTATACCACACTGTCCTAAGCTGTGACAGTTGATGAGCTGATAGAAAGTAGCTTTTGCTGTCAAGGTGATAGCTGTTGATAGGGATGCAAAGTAAATTTTATGCTGCTGATGCTTGAAATTGTCTCTTATGGCCAGACCCTTTTAGAGATCTCAGATTGCAGCTGGTTTCTGGCCAGGCCCTGTAGTAAACTGTGCACAGTTACTGGAGTCACTTCTTTTTGTGATAGTGTGAAGCTTCATTAATGAATTAATCCATGGTAGGCCTTTCTTACTTGCTACTTTCAGTTATATGGTAAACATTCCTTATTTGGCAGGCTCTTAACTAGCCCAGCTTATTTGTAGAGTCACTAAAAGTCTCTCCTAGCTTTGTTTTTGAGGTCAGAGGATGACAAAGTGTGATCTGTATGCTGCAAGGCTAGCAGCAGCAGGTAACTGCAGTTTTTCTGTGGGGTGACTTCTATGGGATGTTGTGTGGAAATTAGGTAGCAGTAAAAGGTACCTATTGCTGTTCATTATTTCTGCACTACTGGAGTATTGGAGTTAGAAAAAGCAGGAGCTGGTCAAAGATTTTACTTCATGATATACATAATCTTGCTGTAGTTCTTATGGCTTTTCTGAGTATGGCATCCAGTTATGTAGTAGTAGTTGCATTCAGGATTAACTTCCCTGAGGCTTTTAAAGCACTGTTTTGGTGCAGTTTTTGAGATCCATGCTCTGTGTAAGCAGCAAAGCCCCTACTTTGAGAATTGGGAAGGGGACGGTGGGAACTGATCCTACCCCTTTTAAGTTGTAAGAGTGAGCTATTTTTCAGGGAACTAATTCATGCTTACAGATTTCTTCCCTGTCCCTGATAACTTATACTAAGTCATGTAAGTTAGTATTTAAAAGGTAGCAAAACTTTGTGTAACAAGAAGAAATTGTTGCAGGGATGTTAAATCTGTTGCAAATGACAACATTCCTCAAAGCTGAAAATTTCTTTGGACTAGCATTGCTATTGAAAATTCAACTGAAGGTGTTATTAAATAGACTACAGAAAATTCCAGTTTACTTACAGTTTTGGAGTAGATACTTTATTTAATGTAGTTTTAACTGCTGAATTATATAGTGATTGCCAAGTTAATTAATTTTAAAAATTTATTTTTTTATTCACTTAATCTTAAGTTGCTCTTTGAAAGCTTTTTCTTGGCAGTAACCAGTCAGCTCCTTTTCTTTTCTTACTAACATCTAGTCAATCAAGCATTTGTATTCAGCACTGGAATGTTGCTCTTTCCAGGAAAATTAAAAAGGATAACTGAGTCGTGCATCAATTATGTTATAATAAATTTTCGGAGTGGTTTTTTCTTTTTTCTTTCTTTCTTTTTTCTTTCTTTCTTTTTTCTTTCTTTTCTTTCTTTTTTCTTGTGCAGAGAAGCTGGCTGATTTTTTTTTTTTTTTTTTTTAACCAGGTTTTGGATTTCAGTGATGATGAAAAAGAAAGAGAGGCAAAAGAGAAGAAAAAGAAGCCTCAAAGTCGAGGAAGAAAGAAAATCAGATCAGAAACACTTCCATCAAGTGAGTGAATGCTTTTGTCTGTTAATCTTAAGTTTGGAATGCCTACTTATAACTCTCTTAGTGATTGAGTTTTTATACAGTTAATAGTAATTCTGTGCTTTCCAAACTTAAGTTTAAATTTGTGGCTACATTCCGTATTATTATTTTGGAAGAAAAATTAAGTTGTATTCAGTTGAAATGTGGAAGGGAAGTGGTATAGCAGCAGAGCAATGGTTAGGTGAGAATCGAAGGCTCTTGCATCAGTGTTGGTTGTTGACACACAGTGAGGATTCTGAACAGAGGCTACCATTTGGATGGGGTTGAGCTAAAAAGCCTTTGAGTGCTGGGAGGAGACAGAGGAAGACCATGTGCAGTTTTTGGAAACAGGTCTTAGATGAAGAATTTAGTCCTGTGTCTAAAAGGAAGCTCTTCTGCACCCATGACATATAAATACTCTTCTAAATAACTCTTATTTGTGTAGCCTGCTGAGAACCTTTCTGTTTACCAAATGCTTACTAAATGTTTACCAATTAGATGAACAAAGCTGTGTATAGATTTTCAAAATACGAATAACCTTCTTCACTTTGTCTTGCTGTTGTCCTATCTGTTCGAGGTGCATGCTTGCAGCTGTGCTGTTTACCATAATCAAATTTTCTCTTGTGCCTCTCTACTGGCAAAACTTTGATTTTTGATTCATATTGCATCCCTCTTTTTCTGTTCTCATTGGTCTGCTTTGGCTGCACGCTTTTTATACCTCTCCCTTTAAATACAGCTCCCATCCCTTACCCTCTTCTACTGGTTACTTACCAGATTGCTTCAGCTGTCTGCAGCATGGTGCTTCCCCCATTGAATTTCTCAGATAGGCTCCTGTGAGTTTGCTGCTCCTCCTTTGTAAAGCTGATACACACTGTGCCCCACTGAAACCCTTTTCTCTTGATCTGGGAGATCAGTAGCTGTCCTTTATATTTTGTACAGTATAGTCCTCCCTTTTATCAATAAAGCCGTGATCTTTCTTGGGCTGGCTTTTGCCCTGTGATTTGGACAGGTTTTTTTTCCCTTAAGAGATGGATCTGAATTGTGCTGTACTTCATTACTGATGGTTATTTTTTCCTGGTTTCTGTTCATCTAGCATCTGGTGTGTTTTCCAGCACATCCTTGTTCTGCCAGCTTATTGTGGACCTGCCTTTGCCTAGGGCTTGCTGAGGCTGTTACTGAACTATGTTCCAAAACTGAGAACACAACAGGAAGAACTATTGCACTCTGTCAAGGGAGATAGGTTTTCATTTGCTGTGGTTTTCTAGTAAATAACATGGCACAAATTGAAGTTCTGTGCAATTTGTTGTAGCTGTAGAATTCAACAGCAGCGGTACATCACAAATTGAGGTACAAAGTTGGTCTCAGATGAAGGTTTACATGACTATATTAAAATTCTCTTGTTACAGTATATGAAAGAAAGAAGGAAAAATACTCATTCAAGTACTTTACTTCAGTGCTTCCAAGAGGCCTACTTGTAGCAAAGGAATTTTAACTCCTAATCCCCCATGAAAATGAGTAGGAATTCTAGTATCACACTACCTTTCCTGACTTAAAAACCTTTTTACCTTTGAGAAGCGATGTACTCTAGTGCCAAGGATGAGGTTCACGGGTTTTTAAATTTCAGTTATTTTATGTGGTGCTATATTCCTGAATACCTTGTTGCTTCTGGCCATAAAATCCTTTTAAGGGTTTAAGTTCTGCAGCTTTTTGAATATCTTAAGAGCTTTTTGGAGCATTTTTAAAATTTCAGTGCTTTTCATTTTATAGTCTAATCCCAATAAAACTTCTATGATATTTATGTAAAGGGGCAATATATTTGTTATGAACATTAAATATATGCTTAGAGTGTGCTGTACAGGGTAAAATTCGTCTTAAAAAGATGAATGCTGAAAGCTAATTGGCTAGAGTTACAGAATGTCTTTTCTCTGATGAAGTAAGTTAATTTTATTAATTTATTAATTTGAATAATTTCTTGTGTCCTCTGTCTATGCTGTAATACCAATTTGGGACTGAAAGCTGGATATCTCTTCAGTTTAATGCAGTGTTGATTTATCTTGAGTTTTAAAATGTGTTGTTGTTAAATCTTGCTTAAAAAGTTTCCAAAATACTCAAAATTTGCGTATTCCTGAGATCCATTTAGACAAATGGAAAGTCTGGAGGGAAAGAAGATGAAATTTCTTTTTAAAGACTGAATTTGCAACTCTCAGGATCATCCTTTTTATATTACTCCAATCAATCAAGATTAGAACAATACAATAGATTTGCTGGTATTACTTTATTCTTCATGTCTTGATTGCCAGTATTATTTGTTGATAAGATTACTTTTCAGTTTTCCTTGTATAGCTGTTTGTGTGTGGATTCTTACATTTATTTATTCTTTAGGTGAGAATAATGGACTTCTTCAGTCAGTGCAACAGCCTGCTTCAAGTTACTCAAGGGGATACTGTGGCAGAGGATTCTCCTTCTCTAGGGATCTGTTTCCTCCTCCATCAGGCCCTCGAGGGTTTTTCAGACCAAATGTAAGACCACCACAACTATACTTTTCAGACAGGAGGATATACCAGGAATCACCAGTGTTTCCACCACCTCATAGAAGAGAAAATCCAGGGATGCAACAGTATGCCTTTCCTCCTCCAGATTTTGGTTATGTCAATGATGTGCATCAATTCTACTCTCCGCCTCCAAATATGAACATGATGTGGGCAGGCCCAAACATGTACAATTCACCCTACCCATTTCTGCCACTGCTGCCACCACCGCCGCCACCACCACCACCTCCCCCAGAGAGCCATCCTTACCCTCCTCAGTTCAGGCCGTACTAAGATTGCCTGCGTGTCCATGTACAGCACTGCAGTTTACAGGGAGAAAGAACAGCCTGCCAGGTCTGCATTCCCTTATTTTGGAGATGCTTTCTTTTACTGCAGTGCTAGAACAAGTGCAGAGTTTTTTGTGCATTGTGGGACATCCGTAGAAAAGTATTTTTTTCTACATATGTTTTGTGTTTCCAAAAAGAAATTTATATGATTAAAGTAACTGAATATTAAGTAACGGTTTATTTTTATAGTTATCTGCTACTTTAAGATGATAAATAAAAGCCTTTTGGAGACTGGTATGTAGTGGTGGAAATCTGTTTTGTAATAAATGTAAGAGTTTATATAACTACTGTTAAGTAGCGATTAAGGTATTTCATATAGACATTATTTTAATATTTTTAGAATAGTGGTGTATTGCTATGCTTCAACATCTTACTCAATTTTTGCAAATTTTGAAGCCTACATGGGAGCTGAATATCTGACATCTAAATTTCGAGCTAGGTTTTCCACTACATATAAGGCATAAACCACTATCCAGCTTTCAATACTTCACTAATTTCATATTAACTAAAAGACTACATCTAGATAATTCTTTTTTAAAATATCTGGAGTAGCTAGATCTGAATTTGGACCAGCAGCTGACTTGCTGTGTCACATTCAGTGTTCTGCAACGGCTGTAGAAGGTCAACCTATTCATAGGAGGTTTTGTGTTTAATTTATAATTTAAAACCAGCATAATTTTTCTAGCTTGTCTCTAGCTTCTTTAGCTCCTAATGCAGAGATGCTCATAAATACGTAGTAGAGTGTGCAATCAGCCTGTCTAGGAAGAAGTCATCAGGTCTGTCAGGGAGAGAAAGCCATTTCAGAACTCCCTTGTTTAAATTTCTAAATGTAGATTGCACTAGGTTGCTATTTGATTACAGTCTAAACTGTCTCTTCTGAAATTATGAGGTTTATCAATTCTCCCAGCTTGTTTCTGGTAGGGAGATGAAGTTATCAGCCAAGGATCACTTGTCCAAAGAGCCAGTCCTACAATTGCTCTTCCCTAGTGTCTGTGGAAGTGACTCTGCCTGACGAGGAGGGAAGACCTTACACTGCAACAATATTTTATAAACAGGAGGAAAAAGAACTTGTGGGTCAGACATCTTAAAGATTATTTTTTGACTGAAAAGTCATTACTAGTTGTGATGATTTTTGAATCTTTGCCAATGCAGTCATCTGAACTGATAAAAGTGTGCAGTATGTATTTCTAGTCTCAAACTCATTTTGACCTTATTACTTTGAATATGTAGTTAAAGGCTAAGTAAGCTGTGTAGGTGTTGCTTAGACCTTAATTTCAGATAGCTTTAAGAATGAAGCAAAATTTTTATGCAGAGAGGAAGAGACTGCCTTGTCAAGATGGTGCAACTCAACTAGGATTTAATTTCAGCCTTGAAATGTTGCTATAATATATTTAACAATATTCTTGGGTATATCTAGAGCTACTGTTTCATGGGTGTGCAACTGAGAAGGTTATATAGATGTCCATTTATGGCAAGCAGATACTCTACAGTGGCAGCAAATAGTTTCAGAAGAGCAGCATTCTAGACATCCGTGTTTAAATCAGTTCCTGCAGATTATTTTTTATAGTAAAAAGAATACCCAATTCTAGCTTGTTGTAAATGTTTATGTTTCAGGGGAAAGAAGAAGGGGCTGAATTTCTGTCTGTCTAAGCTGTAACCCAGATATGACCATTCTCAGTGATAAGGGATGGTACAGTTATAGAGATATTACCAGTGAATTATCAAATGTAAAAGCGTTTCCAAGTCAGTTATGTAGTAAGGAAGTGTCAGCATCACAAGTTGGGGTGCCAATGGCTTGCTGTATGTCTCTGGCACAGACATCATCAGCCTCAAGATCCAAAGGGGCAGCTGAACAGTTAACACCAAGAACAGGAACGAGGTACTAGGAAGTGCAGGTACAACAGTCTTAATTATTACTACTGTTGCAACTGGTGCTTTTTAATGTATGGTAATGTCCACTTTTATCTGTAAGAATTGGATCTGGACTAATAATTCTTTGATTAAGCTGTTAAGATTTCTCTTAAACATGTGTTTTCCTTCTCCATAACAACATTTTTGCATGTAGTGAAGTCCAGTATAAAGTTGGGTTACAGAATATAGCTTGACAGAAATATACTGCAATCTAAGGCATTTTACTAATTCTTGGTTGTTAACTGCAATACTGGTTTTGTGTCTGCTTGCCTGATTGCTAGGCTTTGAGCTGTGATTGGTCAAATGTAAGTATTTTCTGGTAGAGAAAGTAGAGGAAATAATATTCACTAGTGGTTTAAAATTTCTGTATTTTTGACTCTTGTTACCTGTTTTCACATTTGGACAGGAAAGCTGCAATAGAGCTCTGTCAGTCCTGTAATATTTTTAGTTATTCCCCCTTTTCGGGGCATTTCTTCATGGACTACTTTCCAGAGAAAGCTTAAGGCATGGGATGGAGGGGAGAGACTTGAGGAAAAGAGAGGCTTAGGGGAAGATTTGCTATGATTTTTCAATGGGCTGAGATTTACAAATAGAAGTATGGATGCAGTAAACTTTTGGACTGTATAAATTACTGGAACTGATAACATAGGAAATGGAAAATATAATAGCATGTCTGATAACATTCATCTTAAATTAATAAACAAGTGGTACTGGACTCCTCTTGGAGGTGAACAGCAAAAGGACGAACAGGTTTCTTAAAGGAAAATTCTGACAAATGGTGTGGGAAGCAGGGAAGCCATAGATTGCTTGGAGAGATGGTGGAATCTCCAGTCTTTGAGGAATTCAGAATTTGACTTTGGACAATACCCTGGGGGATATAATGTCCGAGTTAGTCATTCTTTGAGTGGAGAGGTAGACCAGGTGGTCTTTGAAGTCCATCCAAGCCCAGACTATTCTTTACATACTGAATTGTTCTGGAATTGTGTCTTCTCACCAGAGTTTGTTTTTTGTCTGTAGATGCTAAGAGAGTAATTCATACTAGCCTGAATTACTGTTTTCTGGCAAGCCTAGCTTTTCATTTATGCTATTGTAATCTTTCATTGCACCTCAGATTCTTATAAACAAAATAATCATGCTGTTCTGAAAGTTGGACTTGCTGCAGAAGATAATGACTGCTTCCATTTCACTGGATGTAAGATGAATTGAAGAATTGTTCCTTTATTAGTTGTTTGGAAACTAATGGTAACGAGAGTCTTAGTTGCTGTCATTTTCCCTTAGGAGGTAAAGCATTTTGGATTGTACAATTTATTTTGAGACTGTTATCAAGGAATAACTACCCAAAATTTTTTTTTTTTTTCTAAAATGCTACCACAAAAACCCCCTGAGAATTATTGTTTACAAATGTTCCCTAACATATGGATTTTTGCCTTAGAGGAGACCTTTTTAATAATGCAAGGCACTCATGCCAGGATGCCTATTAGTGACATGCAGATGAGAATAAGCAAGGTTTTTTATAGGTTACATTTAGAGGTTTCCAGGTTCTGTTTTCTGTTTCTGTGCAACTCAAAAGTATAGTCAGTTATTCTTGTGTAGTGAATTTAGTGATGCACATAATCTCATTTAAAGGATTGATGAATCTGCACAAAACAGTTGGTAATAACTTTGTTACGATGACAGGTGAAAAAATGGAAAATACTGCCAATGATGACAAGGCTTTTACAGAACAGTTTACCTGTCAGGGCAAATACATAATTCTGGAAAGCATGAATAATGATCTTTCTTCATCTCAGTCACTGTAAAGCTTACTCAGTTATTGAATGTGGGGTAGCCTTCACTTGCCATAAATGAAATCTGTTGGAACTATGGAAGAATAATATTGTTGATTTTTCCTGTAAATCTAATGCTTGCACTTCTTAGGCAATGCTTTACAAAAGTGCTTTATTAGAATTTGCTGTTTGCCTGCTGAGATTTGAAATCAATCGAAATTATGAATCACAGAATGGTTTGGATTGGAAGGGGTCATAAAGACCATCTGGGTCCAACCCTTCTGCAATGTGCAGGGGCACCTTCCAATAGATGAGAGCCCCCTCCAGTCTGGCCTTGCTTAGTGCACAGTGCTTGCTGTGTATTTGCAGAAAGCCAGCCAGTTATACAGAGGGACAGGAGTGAGCAACTGTCACATACTCCAGCTTTGAATTTGGACACAGAATCTTCTGACTCTTCTGTGCCCACCTGAGTAGTTGAGAGTGCATGGGCAGTAAATAACTTGCTCCACAAAATGCTGAAACTTCTATGGGAGCAATTGTAGTTATGAAGTGTCTTAATTTTGCTTATATTAAGTCTCAAAGACTATTGTTTGCATTCTAAGCAGGGAGATTTCACTCTGAGTTTCCTACGGTGGGAAGTAGGAAACAAAAACCTAGGAACTTCCTAATCATCAAGAATGAAACTGCTGCTTCTTACCAGAATTAGTTGCTATGAAGGTCTGTCTTTTGGAAGAGGCGGTACAGCTAATATTTTCTTTAAAGAGAAGAAGAATGTTACCTATATCCATTTAATACTATTTACTCAATTTTTAATATGTACATTAGGTGGTCTCAAATCTGTTTTGTGAGAATTGCATGCATATGAAACCTGTAAAATACCAAAGTATTTCCTTCAACGTAGACCCAGGTAAAGAGTATATTTTGTGAGATTCCAGTTGATTCCTTTATGTGAAAGTTTAACCTCAGGGAGGCTTTCAATTTGCAATTGAAAATTATATCTAGACCCTAAAGACTTGTTAAACCTGTCTACTGGATCTTCATACTCTGGATTCCACCTTTCCTGGGCTGTCCTGTGTGACAGTATGTCCCTTTATATACAAACAAACCTTTATTAAGTGACATTTTTGTGAGCATTTTTTGCAAAAATCATGGTCTCAGTTTAGTTTCTTGGTTATTCTCTTCACTGTGATGTGTTTACTTCATAGTTTTTCATTTATTTATGATACCCTGCAGTCTCCACAGCTTGGCTTTGCCACATAGTGATGCACTTGATCTTTGGTCTCGGTTAATGCTTTCTGCAGTGAGGAGAATACAGGGATATATTTTTTCCTACCTTTTGACACTCTGCAACACTCATCTCTGCTGCTGTTATATCCAGAAAAGGTACAGTACCACGTGCATTGATACTCCGCTTTTGGTGATTGCCTATTTGGTTTTCCCCTTGCAGTGTATCCTGTATATACACATTGTACTCTCTTTATCTTTATGGTGTGCCTCATTTTTGCTCTCAGTACCATTCTTACCCTAAAATTGTTTGGACATTAACAATTTCCATCTCTC